GAACAACGTGCAAAAAACTCAAAATCATAAAAAAAAAAAAAAAGACCAGGTTTGCTGGTTTGACAGAGCCTGGCGAGACCCCTGACACTACGGCCCCTAGCTGCTTTCGGGTCTGGAACCGAACTCACTCCTGTGGCTTCCAGCCAAACAACAGACAGACATATGGGGTGAACATTTACACCAGATAGATACACTCTCTGGAGCGATCAATCGTGGGAGAACTGAAGGCAGTGTATACACGAGGAGAGAGACAGCTGGTGGGGTGGTGGGCGGGAGTGCATGGGAGGGAAGGACACAGGGAAGAGGTAACTACGTGAAGTGGGAAGAGAGCTGTTACATTGTGTGTGGGGAATTGCAGTCAGTGTCATGAAACAAACTGTGTATGAACTGCTAGACGGAAAATGAATTTGCTCTGTAAACTTTCACCCAAATCACAATATATATATATATTTTAAAATGCTTTCCCCCCTTGATTTTCAAGGTACCACAATCTTCTGGTTTTCCTCCTCCCACCCTCTTAGTTTCCGAGGGCTGGTGTTTTAACTCCATAGGTGACATTGTCCTGTAGCTTGGCATCCCATGTGGTCTGTGCATTTGTAATTCCCACGAGTGTCCAGTCTTCGGCTCATTCCTGAGCTCCAGCTGGATCCAACTTCAATGACATCATCTCTACCTGGAACACTAATAGGAATCTCATGCTTAACAGATCCAAAATTGAATTCTTGGCTCTCGCCTTTCAGACCCCTTCTTTGTCAAGTCTGTCCCATTTCAAAAATTGGCACAACCCATTCACTCAGGCAACAGAGACCTGACATTGACCTTCGATGCCTCTTTCCCAGCCCACATTCAATCCACCCACCATTCACACACCCTGGGAGACCCTGCTGCAAAGATGTCACTATGAAGACTAAGGTGCAGCTGACCCAAGCCATGATATTTTCAATCCACTCACATGCATGTGAAAGCTGGACAATGAATAAAAAAGACCTACGAAGGGTTGATGCTCTTGAGATGTGGTGTTGTGAAGAATACTGGAAATACCATGGACCGCTAAAAGAACAAACAAATCCATCCTGGAAGAAGTGCAGAATTCTCCTGAGACGTGAGAATGGCGAGTGTGTCTCATGTATTATAGTCATGTTCAGAAGGGACCAGTCCCTGGAGAGTAATGCCATGCTTGGTAGAGTGTCAGTGCAAAGGGGGAAGACCCTCAAAATGGACAGACGCTGGCTTTAATGATGGGATCCAGTGTAACAGGGACTGTGAGGCTGCCACAGGACCAGGCAGTGTTTCATTCTGTGCACACAGGGTCGCTGAGTCAGAGCCGACTCGATGCCACCTACCACCACCACCAGCAGCAGCACACATCCTGTTGGCTCTCTCTGCCTTTGAAATTCAGTTGTAACCCAATAACCCTTCCCTGGCTATGGCCCTAAACTCTCATTGTTGTTGTTGTTGTTGTTTGCTGTCGAGTCGGACCCGACTCATAGCGACCCCTCCTTGGGTTTCTGAGGCAGTATTACTACTGGAGTAGAATGTCCCATCTTCCTTCCGAAGAGTGGCTGGTGGATTTGAACCACCAGCCTTCTGGTTAGCAGTCAAGTGCTGTAGCCACTATGCTACCAGAGCTCCCAAACTCTCATTAGGAAGATGGTAATGGGCTCCAGCATCCATGGTTGGCCACCTGCAGTAATTCTGCACATTTCAGTGACCCTGTGAAAACCCAGCCTAGATCCTGTGACTCTCCTGTTTGGTATCTACAGTGGTTTCTCACTGTTCCTGGGGTAGACTAAGCCCTTGCTATGGCCCCCAAAGCTGACGAGATCTGGCCTCGGCCAACCTCTCCGACCTCCTGTTCTAGTAGCCCCTTGTTCAGCCTCCTCAGCCACACCAGCCTCTTCTGTCCTCCGTGTCCAGCTCTCTCTCTTCAGACCACGGGCTCTTCCTCCAGATTTCACGTGGCTGACTTCCGAACTTCAGTGACATCTCTGCTCCAAAGTCACCCACTTCTTCCAAGACAACTGCCCTGTCTGAAGTTGTCACTCTTCACCCACCTTTTCTCTTCATAGCTTTCCTATCTGGTATTCTCCACGTACCTCCTAATGCCACCTAGCACGACAGATTTACCTTACTGTTTAGAAGGTAAATGCCCAAGGGGCGACAGTCCTTTTGTGCGCTGCCAGTTCTCTGGTGTTAGAACAGTGCTAATCTGGACAGAGTCACTGCAGTGTAGTAAATTACTTAGTGTGGCTTTTCTACCCATAAGTCTTAGTAAACTCCAAGGTGGGATTTTCTATGAGCAACTGAGGAGCTCCTGATTGCTGAAGTTGTCCACCTGGAGTATTTCTGTTGGGAGTGGCACAAAACAATGTTCTGGGAGGTGCCCA